CAATGTTTGTGTTGATTAAACCATAATAAATAAGAAAATAATAAAAAGAAATTAGTATATAAACACACARAATKATTATTTTAGTTTAATAATATCTATTTTATAATTATAATCTCAAAAAAGAATGAATAAAAAAGTATTTTATAGTAGGAAGTAGAAAACTGCTAGGCGATTAGGCGAGGCGAGCCTCAAGGGGTGCCTTGTCGCCTAGGCATTGCCTTGGCAACTATGCGTCTGCTTTCAATTTCTAATGATGTCATCAAAGGACACATGTGAGAAAGCTTCCATGGATTTAAGCCAGAGAGGCACTAATCAAAATAGTTTCAATTAGAGCTTTCATTCTTCTTTCCTTTTCCCTAAAAATTCTTGCATTCCTTTCTTCCCACATTGTCCAATAGATTGCTGCCCTACCACACCTCCACATAAGTTTTCCTTTTTTCGTCTGCCAAGGAAATGTTGTTGGAGCAAGGAGACCTTTGACATCATTCAGAGGAGTCTACTTGCATCCTAATAAAGAGGAAAGCCATTCCCCAATTCCTACAACAAAGGGACATGTAATAAATAAATGATTACAATTCTCACTGTTAGCCTTGTAGAGGGTACACCAATGAGGAGATAAGCACTACTTTTTTTTCTTTGGAGCTAGTTAAAAGTATTTAATTCTTTTGTATACAACATCCTAGCAAGAAGCCCCAACCCTTAGTGAAATGGGCTTGCACCAAAAACCTCCTTGACAGGAAAAGGTTGTAGAGAGCTTGAGGTGGGTTGTTGTTACAGGCACAAGGGAGCTGGAACTACAAGTATATTCTAGAAGGAGAAGAAGGCCACCTCAGCATAAGGAAGCCAGTGCGAAGACAGTTGGAATTAACTGAATCAACTTGGAGTTAACTAAATCAAGCAAGTTGGCAAGTTGTTATAATTCTGTTGTAAATCAGTTACATTGAAGGCAAGATTGAATATAAATACAGAGGTGTACTTACAATAAGGGGATAATAAGAAGATTTGATCTCTTTCTCTCTTCACTCTCACTTTCCCTTTCCCCTATTCTGGAGGTTAACCTCCCTAGTTGGGCAGCTACCCAACAATTGGTATCAGAGCCTGCAACCAGCAACACCATGCTGAGTACAAGGTCAGAAACAGTGGATGATCGGATGGATTGCATGGAGATCCATCTGCACAAGACCGCAGGAGACTTACAAGAAATCAAGCAAACACTAGACCTGTTGATGACGCAAATGGAGAAAAATTTGATGGATGGAAACCACGATGGAAACCCGGAAGGAAATAACAGAAATCAAGGGGGCGGTCAGCATGGTTGGGCCTCAACTTGTTCAACAAAACTGGATTTCCCAAAATACTCGGGGGAGGATCCCATACCCTTGGTCTTTAAGGCAGAAAGATATTTTGAATACTGTTGTAAGGCTTATTTAATTGTTACTTTATAGTTGCTGTTAGTAGGTTGACTTCTTAAGATACTGTCAGTTAGTTACTTGTCTTTTTTTTCTTATTAGTTTGGTTCTAGGGTGTGCCGCCAGGGGCATACTTGTAATTTTTATTCTTT